GGTTCCCAGAGAGACAGCATATTGCCCCCAACAATCTGGGTCCTCATTTTACCCACCTCGGAAGGATGGAAGGCTGAGTCAACCCTGAGCCGGTCGCTGACCTGCTGATCTAGCAGTAGCCTGCAGTGCTGCATTTAACCACTGCGCCACCTTGGCTCTTAGAGTGGGGCTCAGAGAGCAGTTGGGCCAGGAAGGTCCCGGAGGTTCTGGCTGGTTTATGGGCCTGCCTGAGGGGGCTCAGCTTCAGACGCGGCACATGTGCCGAGGGAACCACTGCAGAAGAACAGAGGTCTTCTAGTCCAGTGTTTCTCAACCTTGGCAACTTGAAGTTGTCAAGGTTGAGAAACACTGTTCTAGTCCAATCCCCTGCTCAACAGGAGACCCTACATCTCAGGTGTGCAACCTTGCCAACTTTAAGTCTTCCGGACATCACTTCCCAGAATTTCTCAGCCAGCTGGGGAATTCTGGGAGATGAAGTCTTACAGGTCCCAACCTTTGAGACCATCTGAAACCAATAGCTGTCCAGTCTCTTCTTAAAAGCCTCCAATATTGGAGCTCCCACAACTTCTGTTGCTCCACTGATTAATTGTCCTCGCTGTCAGGAAATTCCTCCTTCCTTCCAGTTTGGATCTCCACTTGATAAATTCTTGTGCCAAACCACTAACTGAAATTATGTTTTGGCTTATAAATCATAGCAAGATTCTTCTTTATTCTTAAGGAAGACATGTAACCATTGCCTAAACCAACGCTTTCGAAACCCTCAGAAACTCAATGTGGTGAATGAACATTTATAGAAAATCTTCCATAGTTACAGACATATGGTTATATTGCACAGATATGCTCCATTCAACATCCAAAGTGGATCAGGGCAGCTTTGTATTGCAAATTGGTTCTTGAAATGTAGCACTTTCACAAATGCATTGTTAATAAACTGACAAAGCTAGGGTGAAGTAATTAATAAAATCAACACAAGTGTTTAAAGATCAGATTGGCAACTAACATTTGGCATTATTAATAATACTAAATTTGAAAACTATGTTTAAAGATTTACATTTCAAAATCTAGCCTCGGAGAGCATTAAGAGCTAGGTAGATGAATTGGAAATGCCAGTTTTATTGCCACAAGAGACAAGTCTAGACTCATCATTTACAGAATCTGAATTAATAACAACTTACTAATAAATCTCAATGAGGGAATTCCCGCATTGAGATTTATTAGTAAGCTCCACATAGAACCCATAGATATTTCAGTTCCACAGTGTTTACAAAAGATAGTGGATTACATCAAGGAGAAAATAAACCTACTTCATAGAAAGTTCTAAAATGTTTTCCATGAAAATGGGATGTTGAGCCTGGAGCAGGTCCGGCAATCAATCATCCTCTGTCCCAAATCATCAACAGTCCCAAGTATGTCAGCGCAGGATCTCATTTTTGCCCTGGGCCAGTTAAGATTGCAGTGGAATCAACTAGCATAATACCTTTGCCATGAACAGATTACTCTGACCTTGGCAATGGCCAGAGCAGGGGGTTGGACTTGAAGACCTCCAAGGTCCCTTCCAATTCTGT